CGCAACACTCCACCCTTAGGGAGCACACTGCAGCACGCAACACTCCACCCTTAGGGAGCACACTGCAGCACGCAACACTCCACCCTGAGGGAGCACACTGCAGCACGCAACACTCCACCTGAGGGAGCACACTGCAGCACGCAACACTCCACCCTGAGGGAGCACACTGCAGCACGCAACACTCCACCCTGAGGGAGCACACTGCAGCACGCAACACTCCACCATGAGGGAGCACACTGCAGCACGCAACACTCCACCCTGAGGGAGCACACTGCAGCACGCAACACTCCACCCTGAGGGAGCACACTGCAGCACGCAACACTCCACCATGAGGGAGCACACTGCAGCACGCAACACTCCACCCTGAGGGAGCACACATGCCACACTCACCAGTAAGAATGCTGGGAATGTATGTAAACACGAGATCAAATGACAATACGCCAAGTCTCCGTGTGTACAACTGAACACCTGTGAGGTGTGTGTGTGTGTGTGTGTGTGTGTGTGTGTGTGTAAAATAAGTGTTGCTTAACGTGTGTTGTTTATCATCGATGTGTCAGGCTTATGGAATATTAGATATAGTTAGTCTCATTGAAAATTGGGTGCAAATTTTTAGCCCTGCAACAAACCTGATTAAGAGACCTCGCTAACCGTGCTATAATGAACTAACGAAATTTATTTTTACCTAATTCTAATAAACATTTCATAGATCAGTTTAAATTTAATTAACTTTAATTTAAATCGGTAGCATATTTTTTTTTTTTTCATTTCGTTAAGTTCACATTGATTTTTGCAAATTTATTGCTTAAATGTGTTTCAAGTCCGTTTATCCGGCGGAAATTATCCTTTTTTTTTTTTTTTAAGGCAAACTCGCCGATTCGGGTTATTCAACATTTTCTCTCTGTCTCTGTCTTTCTGTCTGTCTCTCTGTCTGTCTCTCTGTCTCTGTCTCTTCTGTCTCTCTCCTCGCTCTCTCTCCCGTCTCTCTCTCTCTCTTCCCCTCCTCTCCTCTCTCTCTCTCTCCTCTCTCTTCTCTCTCTCTTCTCTCTCCCCTCTCTCTCTCTCTCTCCTCTCTCCTCTCCTCTCTCTCTCTCCCTGAAGATTTTCCTCAGGAAGGTAAACACTCCGGCGAGAATATCATTCCAGTAGGCTGGCCCAGAGTAACCGTGTTGCCTGGGCTCATGTTATTCACGATCGAGACAAGAGACCGGGAGCTCGAGCAGCCGTTATCCTGGAATCCCCTGGCATGCCAGAAAGAAAAACTGGCCACCCTACCCGTCACTGGGAAGAATAAAAAGGGCCCCACGAGGGGTGAGGCTAGTCATTCGTACATCCTGGTAAAAACTTGCCAGTCTTCTCGCTCGCTATCTGACGCTAATAAAATTTGCTACCGATTATGTGTGTGTGTATGTGACTGCAATATTAGTGGCGGAATTAGAATTCTCCATAGCTGTGGATGAAGTTAAATCGTACTTTATCTACCGCGTTACTTTAAACATTTCCCGTATTTTATGTGCCAAGTCGGTTTTGTCGGTAGTGTCACCATATTGAGAATACAGTCAAACTGTAGTCCAGTAACTGTATAAAGAGTGTTGCTGTAGCTTCAGCAGACGTACCATGTACGATAATTTGCTTAACTGTATTTATAGGTACCTGTACCTGAATAAACTTACATAAAGTGATATAGACTGGTTAATACCTACGACGTTTTTTGCTTTTTTTTTTCCTCGGCGGGTAGGCTTGGGGATGCCTGCCAGGCCGCCGTAGATCCACAACAGTGACTACACAAGATACCAGACCCGCATAGCATCCGGCTCGTCGGATTCCCGTGGTAGAGCACCCAGTCTTCACATGGTCAAGCAACAGCAGGACTGCTTCCTCTGCCATCTGCCTGAGACACTCCCCTCTAGCTGGGTTCCATGATACTGGTGAAAGTCCTTCATTCGTGTGCTTTGTAAGCGAACTCCTATGAGAATTTAGTCTTAGTCCTCTGAAAACTGTACCAGAAATCCGGTTCAGTTTGTTCTGTCTCGTAGCAAAAAAACATAAACAAAAAACATCAATCATTCTAATACATGACACTTGTCTCCTGTAGCTGTCTTGGCCACCGTAGGTGCCGGTCTGACACACGAGAAGCTACCGTAGGTGCGATCTGACACGCCATATTGAAATCGCGAAATGGGTGGTGTTCGAACCCATAGCAAATGAATCCTAAGACTCGTGTTTTCAAACATGACCCGTTCCATGGTTTGTTTGCTATCGTGTTGTTGCGATTTGGCGAGTCCATGTTGCTGGAAAGTGCTAAGGACAGGCGGGCTGCAGTTCTACATACGTTTTCTTCCCTCTAGTTCTCCTGATGTATCGAGAAAGAATGTGGGAAAAAAATGTTGTTATGCTGTAGAAAGGATGGAGCTACCATGGAGGCACCACTGATAAACCATTCATATCATGAGTCGCCACTGTTCCCTACCCATCATGGGTAGGACGCTACCCATCATGGATAGGATTTATCCCCTGATTGAGCAAGCTATGTCCCTGACTTGCTCAACGCGTGTCGTATGTCTTTGAGTGGTGTCCTCTGACACGTGTGGGTCCTGTTTCGTCCTGACCAGATTAGGTTAGATTAGTCAGGAAACAGGACAAGTGCTTCCTGACGCGGGTCTTAGTCAAATAATGACCCGCCATTGGAGCTTTTTTACCCATCTGGCCGAGGCTTTCCTCTGGCTTACCCTTCCACCCCTTTAAAAATTAAGGTTATCTGTAAATACTAGCCTGACCAGGTGATTCCCTGGAACTAGTAAGTGATCGGGCTGCGTCACTTTACACCTGACTTTACGTAACCACTTTAATGAGCAATTTCCTGTTAAGTGTTAAGGCGCGCGAGGTGACGTGATGCACCATTGTAATTGTTACACCAAGGACGACACCACGCAATATATATGTTTTTTTTCCTTGTTCTCATCAATTTATTGCCCCTCCCTTTCTCTGTTCACACGTCCTATCTCTCTCTCTCTCTCTCTCTCTCTCTCTCTCTCTCTCTCTCTCCTCTCTCCTCCCCTCTCTCTCTCTCTCTCTCTCTCTCTCTCTCTCTCTCTCTCTCTCTCTCTTCTCCTCTCTCTCTCTCTCTCCTCTCTCTCTCTCTCTCTCTCTTCTCTCTCTCTCTCTCTCTCTCTCTCTCTCTCTCTCTCTCTCTCTCTCTCTCTCTCTCTCTCTCTCTCTCTCTCCCAGGAAAGTCAATGTCAGGGAGATTCAAGGATCAAATTCTTCGTATCAGCCAGCGAGGTTCATTCCATGTACATTATTTATTATTATTATTATATTATTATTATTATTATTATTATTATTATTATATTATTATTATTATTTATGATTAAAAGCAAGCAGTAAAGAAAAAGCAGAGGGTCCCCATTCCAGCCATAGATGTAGTACTTCCCTATTTATATATATAATATTATATATATATATATATATATATATATATATATATATATATATATATATATATATATATATATATACGATTGAATCATAGTGAATCACGTTTAACTGAGTTAAAAACAACACACTTGTATCAGTGTTATTACAAGAGCACCTGGGGCGTGATTTACCTGATTTCACTTATTGAAACATCAGTATTATTATTGTTATTATTATTTTATTATTATTATTATTACTATCAAAGGGAGCGCTAAACCCAAGGGATTATACAGCGCCTGTGGGATGGGGTGGGGGGGGTGTGGAAGGTATTCAGGCTTAATTCAGGGAACTGGAGCACAGATCCAATTCCCTAGATCAAGAGCCCCTCACCAGCATCAAGGAACCTCTCTTGAAGGGAAGAAACATCAATAACCATGATATTTAAATCAAACTTGCTCTGTTCATTTCCAAATCCTGATATTTTTTTTAGGTATATAAATTAAAGGTAGAGCTGGACACGTCGAACACATTATTATAGAATTTCCATTATTCCAGTCAGTTCTTTTCCCCCATTGTTTTTTTCCTACTTGTACTCCTGTGGTTCCAGATTCATGGGACACTCCTGCAGATCGTGTGGTTTTTCTTCTGGCTGGATCACAGATGCTTGTCCTGGCGTTCCTCGCTGTTCCTGGAACCCACGCGTTTTTTTTTTTTTTTCAGTGGATCACTTCTACGTCTTTTTTTATTGTAATGTTTGACTAATCTTCAGATGTAATGTTGTGTAAGCTTATTCAGGTATAGGTACACATGAATACAGTTGCATAAATTATCATACATAGCACATTGTGTGTAGATTTCTAGGTTAACCTTGGAAAGTCAGACACGTGTATTATAATTTTCTTTGCACTGATAAAAAAATTGATGCGACATGTGTTGTAATAAAGTTGGTAGAATTACCGACAATATGTAAAGTAAAAGGACACAAGTGCAACTAATGTGACATTTTATTGTGGCAACGTTTCGCTCTCCAGGAGCTCTATCAAGCCGTTACAAACAATGTGGACCCTCTGTGTCCATGTATTGTTTGTAATGGCTTGATAAAGCTCCTGGAGAGCGAAACGTTGCCACAATAAAATGTCACATTAGTTGCACTTGTGTCCTTTTATGTGACATGTGTTGTTGAGGTGGGAGTGAACGACATATGCATGACCCCTGGCTGAGGTGCACGTTTCCAGCAACATTCCTGGCAAGGCGGCGGTGGTGGTGGTGTGCACAAGTGCACTCTGTTGCTCTCCCTCATGCTGCTGTCACTACCAGGTCACGCATTACACTGCAAATATGTGTACCTTGTAGCCATCGATCATCGCCGGGAGAGTGTCATACATTCAGGTCTGCTCGGAGTACAGTAAGAGTAGCACTATTTCCCCTGCAGGGTAAAAATTGTATATCTGATAGTGTGGCAGAAACCTGTGAATGATGAACGTTGTTGTGGCATTGTAACGAGCATTGTTGTGGCATTGTAACGAGCATTGTTGTGGCATTGTAACGAGCATTGTTGTAATGATCATTGTGGTATCATTTTTCAGAGAGGATGGTGGTGGCGGTGGTAGTGGTGTTGGCTACACTCACGCTGCACCTAGCGGTAAGTACACTCACTCCTGCAATCATTGATTTAATCTGCTTATGTTAAGAGATAAACCCGTGTGGTGGGTCATTCACCACCTCGAGCGGTTGAGAGAAGGGGCAGCAGACTCGACCCTCTTTCGCTAGCTAGATTTAGAAAGTAGATATACAGCACTGGTTTGGTTATAGAGTTGTGGATGAGTGGAATGAACTCCCGAGTAGAGTAATTGAGACAAAAATCGTGGGTAACTTTAAAAATGGGTTAGACAGGTACATAAGTGTGTGTGTGTGTGTGTGTGTGTGTGTGTACTCACCTATTTGTACTCACCTATTTGTGGTTGCAGGGGTCGAGTCACAGCTCCTGGCCCCGCCTCTTCGCTGATTGCTACTAGGTCCTCTCTCTCCCTGCCCCATGAGCTCTATCATACCTCGCCTTAAAACTATGTATGGTTCCCGCCTCCACTACGTCACTTTCTAGGCTGTTCCACGGCCTGACTACTCTATGACTGAAGAAATACTTCCTAACATACCTTTGATTCATCTGAGTCTTCAACTTCCAATTGTGACCTCTTGTGTCTGTGTCCCTTCTCTGGAACATCCCGTCTTTGTCCACCTTGTCTATTCCGCGCAGTATTTTATATGTCGTTATCATGTCTCCCCTGACCCTCCTGTCCTCCAGTGTCCTCAGGCCGATTTCCCTCAACCTTTCTTCGTAGGACAATCCCCGTAGCTCTGGGACTAGTCTTGTTGCAAACCTTTGCACTTTCTCTAATTTCTTGACGTGCTTGACTAGGTTGGATTCCAAACTGGTGCTGCATACTCCAGTATGGGCCTGACGTAAATGGTATACAGAGTCTTAAACGAATCCTTACTGAGGTATCGGAACGCTATCCGTAGGTTTGCCAGGCGCCCGTATGCTGCACAGTTATCTGATTGATGTGCGCCTCAGGAGATATGCTCGGTGTTATACTCACCCCCAGATCTTTTTCCTTGAGTGAGGTTTGCAGTCTTTGGCCATCTAAACTATATTGTGTCTGCGGTCTTCTTTGCCCTTCCCCAGTCTTCATGACTTTGCATTTGGCAGGGTTAAATTCAAGGAGCCAGTTGCTGGACCAGGCTTGTAGCCTGTCCAGGTCTCTTTGTAGTTCCTGCCTGATCCTCATCCGATTTGATTCTTCTCATTAACTTCGCATCATCTGCAAACAAGGACACTTCTGAGTCTATCCCTTCCGTTATGTCGTTCACATATACCAAGAAAAGCACAGGTCCTAGGACTGACCCCTGTGGAACCCCGCTTGTCACAGGCGCCCACTCTGACCCCTCGTCGCGTACCATGACTCGTTGTTGCCTCCCTGTCAGATATTCTCTGATCCATTGCAGTGCCTTTCCTGTTTGTGGGGCCTGATCTTCTAGCTTTTTGCAGTAACCTCTTGTGAGGAACTGTGTCGAAGGCCTTCTTGCAGTCCAAAAATATGCAGTCGATCACCCCTCTTTCTCTTGTCTTACTTTGTCACCTTGTCATAAACTCTAGTAGGTTTGTGACACAGGTTTTTTCCCTTTCCCCTGAAACCGTGTGGTTGTCAATTATACACTTTTTTTTTTTCCAGGTGCCCCCACCACTCTCCTCCTGATGATCTTCTCCATGCCCTTGCATACTATACCGTTAGTGTTTACAGGCCTGTATTTTTAGTGCCTCAGTCTGTCTCCCTTTTTAAAATTGGGACTACATTTGCCATTTTCCATACCTCAGGGAGTTGCCCAGTTTAAAATGATGTGTTGAAGATCTTTGTTAATGGCTCAACACAATATCTCTGCTCCCTCTTTAAGGACCCATGGAGAGATGTTGTCTGGCCCCACCGCCTTTGAGGTTTACGTTCGCATAGCAGCTTCTTCACCTCTTCCTTGGTTATATGTACCTCATCCAGCACTTGCTGGTGTGCCCCCTTTTCTGATTTCCTGGAGCCCTTTACTGGTTTCCACTGTAAATACCTCTTTAAATCTTGTGTTGAGCTCCTGACATACCTTTTGGGGTCGTTTCTTGTGAATTCCCATCACCCTTCCTCAGTCTAAATTTCCCGGTCCTTGACTGTTGTTTTCCTCCTGATGTGGCTGTACAACAGCTTCGGGTCAGTCTTTACTTTTGATGCTATGTCATTTTCATATTGTCTCTGAGCTCCTTCTTATCTGTGCATATTCGTTTCTGGCTCTTCTGTGATTTCTTATTTTCCTGAGTTCTCTGTCTTCTGTACCTTTTCCATTCTCTAGTACACCTAGTTTTTGCCTCCCTACCCTTTGGGTGAACCAAGGACTCGTTCTGTTCTTCCCATTATTTCTGTTTCCCTTGGGAACAAACCTCTCCTCTGCCTCCTTGCATTTTGTTGCCACATAGTCCATTTCTTGTACTGGTTTTCCTGTCAGTTCCCTCTCCCACTGAATGTCTTGAAGGAAGTTCCTCATGCCTGAGTAGTTCCCCCTTTTGTAGTTTGGTTTTTCCCACCCTATTCCTGCTACTCTCTCCACTTGGAGCTCAACTATGTAGTCGAAGCACAGAACCACATGATCACTAGCTCCCAGGGGCCTTTCATACATGATACCCTCGATGTCCGAACTACTCAAGGTGAATACAAGGTCCAGCCTTGCTGGTTCATCCTCTCCTCTCTCTCTGGTAGTGTCTCTAACATGTTGATGCATGAGGTTTTCCAGTACCACATCCATCATCTTGGCTCTCCATGTTTCGGGACCCCATGGGGCTCCAGGTTTTCCCAGTCAATCTCCTTGTGATTGAAATCACCCATAACTAGTAACTTTGCTCCCCCATGTGTGCTCTCCTGGCCACCTCGGCTAGTGTGTCGATCATTGCTCTGTTGCTCTCATCGTATTCTTCTCTTGGCCTCCTGCAGTTCTGTGGTGGGTTGTACATTACTGCAATTATCACCTTATGTCCCTCAGACTGGATTGTTCCTACTAAGTAGTCCCTTTCGCCCGTGCCATCCATTCCTTCCATTTTCTCAAAACCCCACTGGTTTTTAATGAGCAGTGCAACTCCTCCTCCCCCTCTCCTCCCTCTGTCTTTCCTGAGGATTTGATATCCGGATGGAGTTTTGTTTCTGTGAGTGCTATTATGTCTGGGGATGTCTCCTTGATTCTTTCGTGCCACTCCTCATACTTGTTTGTTATTCCATCTGCATTTGTATACCACACCTTCAACTTCTTTTCTAAGACTGTGGTCTGGGAGGTATATTGGAGTTGGGGAAGTGGGAGACCTGGTAAGGAACTATGGGTTGTTGCTGTGGGGGTGGAGTTTGTAATGTAGTGGGTGGGGGCATTGGATGTGTGTGTGTTGGGTGAACGGAAACTAAGTCACAGGAAAAAAGCCACCAAGAAGTTAGGTGTAGAAATATACCTAGTTGGACGAATCTTATTGTGGCTAGCTGGTCCAGTGGCTAACTCGATGGTCTGGAGTTTTGAGACTCTCTGACCGCGGGTTCAAATCCCGCCCGTGGTATGGTTTTTTTAAGATAGGTTTGCCGACCCTTTGTCTAACTAAAAACAAATGCGACTTTTTTTTCCCCCTGTGGCTTTTTTTTCTTACTTGGATTCGTGAGTTGGACCTGCTTAGCATGGGTCAGTAGGCCTACTGCAGTACTCCTTCTTTTATGTTACCTGCACTCACCTCAAAGTGTGTAACTTGGTCTGTGTATCTCCGTTTTGTTGCCAGTATTTGAACTTTGAATATATTGACCGTCAATCATAGGTCTAAATAATAGATATATAAGAAATATCAAAAACACATTTTTGGGCTATAAATCTAAAGCACACAATAGTAGGCCTACCTTTGCAAAGAATTTTTTTCCCAAGGAACGCAGTTTTTCAACGCTCATACACATGTAATCAAAATTCCAGGATTTTCTAAGATGTGCACGCATTGTATTTCCTGGAAAGTGTCGACACTAAGTTACAGAGCACTTCCCGGCAGGCGACACTGTCACACTGTCACGACACTGTCACATGTCACGACACTGTCACATGTCACGACACTGTCACACTTTGTAATAATACTGGCAAAATTACCGACAGTATGTTAGGTACAAGGACACAAGTGCAACTAATGTGACATTTTATTGTAGCAACGTTTCGCTCTCCAGGAGCTTGGTCAGGCTGCTGGAGAGTGAAATTTTTCCACAATAAAACGTCGCATTACTTGCACTTGTATCCTTGCACCTAACGCAATCAACAGTGTCAAGGATATGTATCTCCGGTGAAAGTGTTGCGGGGATCATAGGTAAGTTGTAAGTCAAAGCTACGCGTGCACTCATCATGTGTGCACTGATCAAGACACTTGTTCACAGATCAACACGGAGGCTGGAACTAGCCACGGTAGGTCAACATCAAAGTAAGAAACCCTTGGCGCAGTGTTACCTAAATAATTGTCAACATCACTTCACCCTTGTATCATCGTCCACTCGACCCGCTCTCACACTGGGCTTCCCATACTGTATGGAAACAGTATGGGCTCACCTTTTCTCTCGCATCCACCCTCTTATATCCAAACTTCTGCTAAACACTCTAGCACATGAGTAAATAGAATTATCAAAGGGTTATTGCTTGGGTATCGTTGAAAATTGGGTTGGGTAAATGTTTTTTTTAGTGGGATGGATTGTGAAGGACCTGCCTAGTGTGGGCCAACAGGCCTGCTGCAATGTTCCTCCTTTCTTGTGTTCTTATGTTCTTAAATCCAGTGTTAGAGTGTTCATACCTCTTCATCTTCATTGCCTATAATCTTACTAATCACAGAAACACATAGGAACTTGAAGATTAGTGTATACTGAATGTTAGAAGCAGTTTGTAAGATTTAGCTGCCATCTTACATATTAGCGAGACGGAAGAGAATAGGAATCCTGCCAGAGGGCAAAACGTTTAATAGGCTTTCATTTGACGCTCGTATGAGAGGACACTAACAGCAGCTTGCTAACTGTAAGATTATGCAAGCTAGGATTTATACCAGTAAATCCTCAATAC